AGGGAGAAATGGAACGCGACTGTAGTCACGTGACCGATAGGCGTGACAATGATCTGGCTTTAGCCATGTCGTCGTATTAGCACTTATTATGTCATGCCCAAGCCGATGTAAAGAAAGAGGAGTATAAATAATATGTAAAAGTAGAGTAGAGAGAAGTAGTGAGAAAATAATAGAAAATTAATAAAGACTCGGTCAAATAAAACACGCCTCAAATCACCCTTTTCATTTACTTACCTGCTAACGGTTACGCGAATCTCTGCTAGAGTGAGCGACAGACTCGCCGTTACACCGTTACAGTATCTTGGTCGAAAAATTCTAGCTAAAGATGTACCTACATATTATCAGAAAAGTCGATATAACCACTATACTCTACATGAGTGGGCAGAAAAGGAAAAAGATCAGTTATGTGAACGATTAGGTCTTGTATCATATATAGTTACTTTTATATTATTACATCGGCAGGGCTATAGAATCGTTGAATATTCAGGATGGTCTTATATGTTAAAGTGGCTATCGAATATTTAATATTACCGTATTAATGAATACCACAACAATGGCAGAGTAATTATCGTTAAAAGTTCAGAATATGCACGATATTTGAGTAAATTGTATAGCAAACCATATCCTATTTCCAGGAAAAAGATGTTAACATAGATTTTTCGGATTTTAACAATAATTGTGAGTATGTGTGCCAAGTTTTCCGAGCTATAGAATCTTTATTAAAATAGCAGAGGGGACCACCGAATAGCTCATTGTCGTGGAGTTTCATCGGGTCGAATAACTGATAAAGTATCATATCGTCTTTTAGTCTCAAAGATCAAAGTATCGTTGATAATCACTAATTCCACAATAAGTGTAGATATACGACTTTGCATATTTCATATCATATCCAGGGAGATTATTGATGAACTTCGCTGATTTAGCTTTTTTATCGATAATAGTTGTAATAGTAAGACCTGACATAATTGATGATTTATATCGAATTTAGGACCTATTAGATTTGATTCTCTATAGTATAAGAATGTTATGATTCATTTTTAGTGCGGATGCTCGAAGAGCGCCCAATAGGGCCTGGGTTATTAGATGAGTTGTGTATATTCGTCATATTTTGCGAGTGATGTATACGATGAGAATGGGAGAGATGCACATGAATCTAAAGATTCGCTCATTTGGGCCTGGGTTGTAGCGAGAAGAAGGCATACTCATGAGATGCGCAAGAAACTAAGCTAATTTATTTTTGTTTTGAGAAATCCTTTTTTCTTACAGGTTCGAAAAAAGATATTAGCCATCTAGATAAAAATATATAATTATCTGTAATTATCTGGCTTCAAGTGATGAAGTCATGAAAAGGCAGGATATATTGATCGCCTTTACTGAGAGATATAGTAGAGCTAGTGCCTGAGACACAGTTTTACGAGCTACAGATGTAAAAATGTGCGTTTCTCAGTGAGCTAACTCCAAGATACACAGTAATCCATATTGTGACTTTTTACAATGTGAAACCCACGTAATTTCAAGCAAGCACTATAATATTCATAATTACAAAATCCCAATCGTATCAGCTTCATTATAACCCAATAAAATTGAATCATAATTTGTACAAACCTATCAGAATGTTCTTGATTGCCTTCGATTTTTACTGCTTGTCGGCTTCATGCTGATTCAAATAGTATTTCTATACATCATAACCAGATATACAGTAATTCTGGAAACTTCGAAAAGCAATTGAACATGAAAATGAGTACTGTATTAAAGAAAAAACAAAAAAATATTGCTGATTTATCAAAAACCATAAAAAATCTTGGTTATGACATTCGCAAAGTTCAAGATGGGGTCGCAAGAAGTAGTAACACCAGATCTAGTACATCCAAAACTCCTCAAAATTATACTAGTACCATTTTCGAACTGTGGGAAGAAATTGATGCATTATTCGACGAGAAAAAGCATTTCGAAAAGTGGTCCGTGGCAAAACTGTACCCAAGGTAGCTGAAGAAATCTGAATCCCTAGTTATCAATCATAAGGGAAGGATATCGATCAGTGATGCCATTATTAGGAATTTCCGTAAAAAAACGACTAAAAACCTGAAAGAAGAGACATTAGACATATTAAAATTACGGGTATTGAAACAGAATGAAGGGATAGATACTGAACTGGAAAGTGAGGAGAAAGAAAAAATAAATCACAATAGCTAATGTGGGTAGGGAAAAGAATTGCTATTTTTACTATGTAAAAGGCTTAGGATCTGATGGGCATTTATGCTTTATTTCTTCCTTTAAATGTTTCTACCTCATGCTCTTATATACTGTATATAAGCCAACTTTTAAGAAATAATTTTACATATGTCAATAAAGATATAATTGTTATTTTTATTTCATGTTTTGTAATAGTTAATGTTTGCTATGGTCAACTTTTGATAAAAAAAACTGTATATAATATAATATAATAAATAATTTAATATACAAAATTATTGCGACACTTTATTTAACTTTTTTTTTTACTATTTACATCATCACAATTTATCAAATTTTTCTAATATTTAGTTACACTGCCTTTTGCTTCAATCACTGCTTCAATATGACAGGGTAATCTGTTAACAAGATAGCACAAAAAATCTAAAGGAATTGCTTTCCATTAATCATATATTATTTTGTTAATTGTGCAAGATTAGTAGGAAATGGTTGCCATTTTTGTAAGTTATTTTTGATCATAAACCAAAGGTTCTCAATAAGATTCAAGTCAGGGCTTTTAGCAGGCCAGGCAAGTATTTTGATATTCTTTTGATAAGTTTGTCTTGCATTACTTATGTAATGTGCACCTGAGCATTGTCTTGCTAAAAAAATCCATTTCTACAAGGAAACTATGATCAAAATAATGAAATTGTATGATTTTTAAGTAGATTAGAGTGTATTTGTCCAGTAACTTTTCCATTGTAAGCCACAAGTGGTTCAAGTCCCTTCTACAAAAATCTCACCTATACTATTTTACCAACACTTTTTGAAACCTTTGCTGCAATACAATTTGGATCAAATTCTTGACCTACCTCTTACTTGCACCATACATACAGATGTGAATGTATATGAAACTGAGTAAAAAACATCTTGTTAATTCAATAAACTCTTTGCCACTTTGCAAGCAACCAATTCTGATGTTCAGACACCTAATAAGCTATTTAATCTTATTTTCATTAGTAAGAAAAGGTTTCTAGTAAGTGATATGAAATTAAAGTTCAACTTTATAAATTGTATGAACTAAAGTCCTAGTATATAACTGGTAACACTTTTTTTTCCCATTCTATGTGAAGTTCATTACTGAAAAGAAAATGGTAATGTTTTGAAGTAACAAATTGTTTAAGATATTGTTAACAGACTCTGCTGATTAATGGTAGGCAGCCAATTGAATTGCTGTTTTTTTTTTTCTTTTGTTATTTTTTTTTTTTTGGAGACATTGTTAATATTTTTATAAAAAAGAAGAAATCCCATAACCAAAGAATGGTGACACCTGACAACTTTGGTGATAGTATAATATAAATGTCCAAGATAGTAACTAGCAATAATTCCTCCTTATTAATTATCAGTCAATATTTTGAAGATCAGATAGGGTATGTGTGAGAGAGAGTAAGGGTGGATAGCAAGTATATAGTAAAATTAGTAAATCAATAGAATTATTTAAATAAAAAAAACATAAAGATGATTTATGTAACAAAAAAAAACATGTAAATACAAAATAATCAGCATTTTGTATTTATTGTATATTGCAATAATTTGTCATTCCCTTTTAAAATAAAAAAATTTAAATTTAAAAACTTTTATATAATTATTATCCAAATCTAATTTGAAATCTTATTTGATAAAATTTAAAAAAGTATTAATAAATTTGTTACTATATCCAGCTTGATCTTTTTTTGTTATATATATTTTTTTCCATAATCAAACAAGTATTTATTGTGTTTATTTAATATTTCAAATAATAATGTAATAGTACAAAGGTTTTTATATATAAATTAAGCTAATGCTTGAATATCTATCACTGATTAGAAAATCTCTAAATATGACCTTGGAGATAAATGAAGTTGCTTATTCATTGCTGCTATTTCTTGAAAGTTTTGAGTTCATTGCCTATTTTTTTTTATTATATAAATTAATAATATTTTTATTTGTTATATTTATATCTTCAAATAAATCATCAATTTCAATATAACTATTTATATTAATAATATTTTCATAATTATATGATAATTAACTAATTAATTCATTTATTTCTTTTAAATTTTGTTATTGAAATGGAATCATTTCTCCAGTAACAATATTATAAAAACAGGAATTTAAGAATTATCTATTTTTTGAAAAAATTATAAAGGTAAAAATTTAAAATAATATTAAAATTAATATTATTTTAAGCCTTTTCAATTTAATATAATATATATTTAATATTGAATTTTTTTATATTATATGTTAAATTAAATTGGTCTACTTTAAATTCTATCAATAATCTTCTATACTGTATTTATAAAATTAATATTATTAATATTATTAAATAATAAAATTATTCACTTTCCTGAAAGTTCACTAATCAACAACTCTTGCCTCGGTAGCAGTGTTAGATGATGCAAAAAGATCTTCGGCATTACTAGAGACTATATGATTTGCGAAAGTTCATCTGTTCTCCAAACTTTCCAATGCATACATACTCCACATGACTTAAAAATTATCAATAAATCCAACAAAGAAATCAAGAAACTATGCAACAATAATTATAGCAACCTTATTGCATTTAGAATCAAGTTACTATCAGGAACCCTATTCACTCATCAACAATTACATCAGTTATATTCTAGCCAATATCAGGACACTCTATGACCAAGATACGAACTCTGTATTGAAGATATAAAACATGTTTTCAAATGTTCTGAGACTTTCAAAGAAGCTGAACAAATCATCATGACTATTAATTAAATACTTTAACCAAACAACAACCAATCTCCAATTTCAAATATATAACAAGTCATTGAATTGACATGTGGCATTACAGATGAAATATTTTCAGTTTCTGATTTCTCTAACTGGGTTGAAGCAGCATTAGAAGTCCTGATTCAGCTGTATAGCTTAATCTGAAAATCTCATTACTCAACAGCCAATATCTTATCAATCACAAGAATTAAGTAGAACCTTGACAACAAATCTCTCACTTTATCTTACTCCATTAGAACTATCAATACTTACAACCTGCAAGATGAAGCCTCATCTATCAACACTTCCTTATAAGAAATTATTGTTAACCTACCCACTATAGTTATTAACTCTTTTATTCATTATAAATATAACTACACCAAATGTATTAGAAATTTAATTTCATCATTGACTAATTTCTCCTTCCCTAATACTGAGTAGATAACTATAGCTGCTCAGTACTGCTTGGCAAGATATATTGTTTTAAATTTTCTTTTCAATATTAGTCAAGTAGTTGCTATAAGCAAGCTAGTATTTAACTTATTGCAATAGCATATGAGAGATGTTGTTTTTTTCACGATGTATATTCTGACATATACAAATCAAATAAAGAAATGATGTTTACCTACTTAAAAAAAATAAATAAATAAAATGAGTGGCTTGTTTTTTTTAATACAAATTATAATCTTATTAATTTCTTTAATCTGAATTTTAAAATTTTTTCTACTTTGATATATTGACTTTTTCTGATAATGTTTACTTTGATTTTTTTTAATATATCTATTCATTAAATCTTTAATAATATTATTAAGTTCTTTTTAAAATAAATAAGAAGATATACTAAGCTAGAGTTTTATGTTCTTGATAAAGTTAATTAGGTTTTCTTTGATTGTTTTATTAATATTGAACTTGTAAATTGATTTAATTTTCTTGAATTCAAACTATTTAATAATAACTAATCAATAGTCTGTTGAAATAGTGTCATATTTACTAATATTATATCAAATAACTTTAGATATTGGATTTTGAATATCTAGATTTAATCAATATATAATATACTTGTAAAGAATAATATTCCTTAAATTGTAATATAGACAAATTTGCCTACATATTTAAAATTTTAATAAAATTTTAAATATTAATTTTTATAACTTACTTATATTATAAAAAATATAGTTTAA